TGTTGTTGTTGTTGTTGTTGTTGTCCAATAAAAGATCGATCATCATGTGTATAAACACGTGGTTTTTGTAATGGAAATTCACTGTTTTGATAAACATGTCGATTTGTTGATGGTTGATGATTTAAATTTGTTGTTGTTGTAGAAAATGATTGTGGTTTGAAATTTTCTGATGGAAAAACCGAACCAATTGATGTATGATTATGTTTTTTACTTGAACACATTTTTTGTTTTAATAAAGATTCTGCACGTAATTTATCATTAGAATTACTCGATGGTATTTGTTCATTACGACGAACAGTATCCATTGATGTACAACGAATTATACGATAAGATGGGTCCATATTATTACTATAAGAATCAATACCATTCGAATATGATGGTAAAATTGTTGGTCTAGATGAAGTAGATGATGAAGGTCTGAAAATTAAGATAAATTAAAAAAAAAAAGAAAGAAATGTATAGAATGAATTTTTTGTTTTTTCGTACTTATTCCAAGTAGCAAAACCATTACGAGGAATTTTTTTTTCCATCATTGTCATAGTTGATTTATCTGTTGCAATTTTTCTCATATTATGTTGAATAGATCCTCCACTATCACTTGAACTAAGTCTTTCATTTGTTGTATGTATTGTTCGAAGTTTAGGTGCAATAAGTGGTCGTCTTGATGAAATTCGATTTGTTTTACCATTTATTGAATTTAATGATAAACCACTGAAGAGAAAATTAAATTTATGTGTCTATTACATGCTTACTAAGAAAAAACAAAATATGTTTACTTAGTTTCGTGCGTATGTGTTTTAATAAAAGGTGCTGAATTAAGCTTAGTAGTGCTTTGTGTATTAGATAAATTTTCATTTTCAAAATGATTTTTATACTTTTCTTGTTCATCTTGATGATATAAACGTTGTAAACGATAAAGATCATCTTGTTCAACATGTGTTATTGAATCAGGATGATAAATTTGTTGTCCATTTGTTGTTGAATGATAATTTATTGAAGAATTTCGATCCTGTAAAAGATGATAAAAATTTATTTTAGAATAATCAAAAAAAAAAAAATTTTATGAAAGATATATTTTAATTACAATGTTATATTTATCTGTATGAAATAAATCATCATTATTATTGATAGTTGGTTCGAAATTATTATTATTATTATTATTATCAATAGTTTTTATATATGATAATGATCTTTGATAAAGACGTGAATTATTTGCTATTGAATTTGAATGTATTAATCCTGATCGATGTTGTTGTTGTTGTTGTTGCTGTTGTTCACCATTTGTTGTTTGCATTTCTGTTACTGAATGACTACGATTTGGTAATGATATTGTAGAATTTTGCAAAAATGTACTATCTAAATAATTAAATGAAAATATGGGTTTTTCTTTTTTATCTTTTATATATAAAGATTATAAACTTACTATCATCTTCTTCTTCCTCTTCTTCATCATCATCATCAAAATCATGATGAGAATCAGTTGCATATGAACGCTAAAAGTAAATGATAAAGATAATAGAAATTTTGAAATAAAAAAAAACAAATAATTTTTACAATTTTATCTCTTGGAAACATAACAGGATCTGATGCAACACGTTGTAAATAATTTTTTCCTTTTCTCTGTTGTGTATTCATCATATCAGAATCAGGACTTGATTCATCACGAGTACAATTATCATCTGAATAACTTTGTCGTGTTGAAATAAAATATTCATCAGAATTTGGTAAATCTTTATCAGCTGGACGATCATCACTCATCCATATTGGTTGTTCTTGTTCAATTTCAATTTGTGCTTTTAATGTTTTATACCAATTTACTGTTGAATCAAGTTTTATTATTGATGTAAATAAATATGAAAATAAAAATTCTAAACGTTCAGATGATTCATATAAACGTCGAGAAGATTTTTGATAAAGTTTTCCATATTCATGACGTATTTGTTTTATTTGTCGACGATCAGATGCTTTAAAATAAATAACTATTGGATAACATTGAGCATAATTTAATTGTTCAACAGCTGTTGGAGTTATATCAAGTAAACAATGACGATTCTAAATAAATATTCAAGATATACATAGATACGGAGAATATCATAAGAGATTCGTGACGGATGAAATCTTCAAATAAAAAGTTTCTCTTCCATTGAAAAACGATTTGAACTCCCCATCCTATCCCTAATGGAAACTTTCGAATTACGCCTTTATAAGAAACATGCTGAAGTCAGTAACTAGTTGAATCATATAAATTTAAATCTCGCTCTCATGGAGTTAAATTGAATTTTTACAATCTATAGTAATATTCGACAACTCTTGAGACAATCATCTCTAATAAAAACTTTGATTTTATATAACTTACTCGTTGAATAACATTTTTGATACTTTGTAATTTAATAACATTAGCTCGTGCTTTTGTTGGAGATTGTGTTTCGATACCTAGAAATAAATAATTTATGAAAACAAAAAATACATATTATTGATTAAAATATTTCAGTATTTACAATATTTTAACTTACGAGGTAATTCAAATAGATCAGGATATTCTTTAAGTAAACGATCTCGTGCAATATCAGCCAAAGGACCAAAAAGAACAACAGGACGAATAATAGTTACTATTACAAAAATAATCAAAATAAATTTCAATCATAGTAACAAACTCTTACCAGCTTTAAGAACAACACGTTCATATGCAGGAAATTTCGAATTGGTCAACGCTATAATAAAAACAAAATAAATCATAGTTAAAAAATTGGTTGTTTTTAAATCTTTTCAAAAATATTCAAGCGTGACTATTAAGCAGAACAAAAAATTCTATTCTTTCCGTAATATTTCTTGCTATCAAAGCATCCGCGGTTAGGAAAAAAAAATAATTACATAAGTGATTATCGTAAAACAAATAAAATAATATATATATGTACAATGACTTACGCTTCCAACAAGTAACTTTAGCTATAAATGTATAGAACTGATTTTTTTTTTTGCTTTATATAAAAATAAAACAATAAAACATACCGAAAAAAGAATCTTCTTTTAAATGATGTATTGATGAAACTGAACGTGATCGTTTATCACTAAATTTTGATCGTAATTTACGTTTAAATGATGGTTGTTTAGATTTAATTAATTGATCAAGACTTGGAGCAACACTTGCTAATTGTTCTGCTCTAAAAAAAAAAATATTTAATTTTTTTTTGTTTTTTTATATACAATAAAGTTTTTTCTATTTTAATAATATACCGTAATTTATTTGGTACAGCACCAGTTATTTTCATTTGTGATGGTGGTGCATTTAATTTCGTTGCAACCCAATATCCAACTTGACCATTATAAAGTGTATCAGTTACATGAAAAATATCATTTACACGAATCGATAATTCTTCTTCATTTGTTGTATTATAAGTAAAATGAGCACTGCAAACAACAAAAAAAAGAAAAAGAATTTAATTAGAAAGGAAATATTTTTTTTATTTTCATTACCGAATATAAAATGAATCACCGCCAATATCAGCTAATAATTGTTCATATTCTAAAGTTTTATAAATTCAAAAAAAAACTTATATTTTAAAATTCATAAAATACAAACCATGACGTAAATTAGCTACAATCATATTCACTTGTAATGTTTTCATATTCATTAAACATAGAACAGCTTCTTCACGCGTTAAAGTTGTAAAATCAATATTATTTACCTAAGAATAAAGAACGATGCATATTTGAAGATAAGCATTAAAGAAAAAAATTCAATATAGAATAAATTAGTCTTTACATATTTGAATAGAACTATGTAATCGTATATTACATAATACAAACAGCTCATTAGATTTTGATTTTTAGAACTGATTGTCAAAATAAATGCCTATCATTAAAAATCAGTATTTATACTGACTTCAAAATTTTTCTTAAATTATTACTTTAAACAATAATTAAATCAAATAAAAACTTACACTAAATATTTTATCAGCAACAAGTAATCCTGCTTTATGTGCTACACTGTTTGGTTGTACTTCACAAATAAATAAACCATGTTTATCACCACCTGCTAATCGAATACCCATACTAGTTGTATCAGTAAAAAAAGATACATATCTTGTTCCAGTGCTATATTATTAATAATACAAAAATAATGAAAGAATACTTTTTTTTTTTTTTTATTCATTTATTGTTACTTTGATCGCATAAAATCATGACGATTAATTGTTGGTCGTTCAAATATATGTTGATTATAATCTGCTTGTAATTCTTTACGTGAAGATGATGGTCGATCATGAACAACAATTGGTATTGATAGACCATCTTGATGATTATGAATTCCATTTTCTATTGCTAGAAGAATTATAAGATATTAAAAAGAGAAGATTAAAATTTTTTTTTTTTCTATCTTACGATAAGATACTAATTTATCATGATTTAATTTATTAGGTATAACAAAAAGAACAAGTCGTTCTTTAGCTTTATCAATTAATTTTTGTGCTTCATGTAATGTTAAACGATCAACAAGTGTTTCATTTATCTTAAAAATTTTTTTGTTTTTTATTAAGTTTATTTTTCATTATAAAATACAAATATTTACTTTAATAACTTCATCACCTTCATGAAGATTGATAAATTTATCATTATTTTTATAATGAATTTTTTTAATGAAATATCGACACCCAAGAACAATACCAAATTTTTCATCTTTACGTGTTTTATTTAATATACATTTAACAGGTGGTTGACTATCTGAGACAATAACAGGATGCTTTCGTCTTCGAACAATCTATTTAAATAATTTATAAACGTTTATAAATTATAAACAAAAAAAATCAATTACTAAATTAACAAAATCAGTTGATTCACGAATTAATTTTAATGCTGAATGTTCCATATGACGTATAACTGGATGACCATTAACACTTAGAATTTGATCGTTTGGACTGATTGAAAAAGAAATATTTATTGAGTCTAGTGTTTTTTTTTGTTTGTTAATATTAAAAACATATGAATACTTACAAAAGTTTTCCATCTGCAGGTCCATTTTTAATAACTTCGCAAACAATTAATGATTGATTATCAAATTGATTTTCATCATGATATGAAATATTATTTCGTTTTAAATCAATCAATTTATTTTCATTATTTCCACCACTAATCGCTATACCAAAACCATGTAAAGGTGACTAAATATAAAAGAATAATTTCTTTCTTTCTTTCTTTCTTTTTCTTGCTTGCTATCATAAATCAATATCTTGAACGAAAGAAAGCCGCCTTCGGGTTGTTAGTGATTCAATTGTCACCTGTTGCTTGATTACGTGAATATTTTACTATAGAAGACCCGCATAACAGTACAAATAAAAAAAAATCAATTTTAACACGATAACGTTAAAGGGATTATGATAGAAAATTGATCAATTTACAAAAAGCAACACGACAAACTTACTCTTGTCAATGTAACTTGAATACAATCAGATGTTTCATCGTCATTTAAACTAGTTCTATTATTATTATTATTATTATTGTTGTTGTTGTTATTGCAATTGTTATTGTCGATCTACCAATACAAATATAAATAGAATAAAAACGTGTAAAAAAGAAAAGCTTGGATACACAATAAGGACAAGTAAACAGCACGTACATTCATATGTAGACAAAAAGCCCAATGGCTAGTCCATTTTGCACGTTCGAGAAGAATACATGATCAAATATCGATTACATTTAGGAGCTAACAAAATAGAATATTGATCTTCTTCATCCTCCTCTCACATACAATTCAAATATTCTCATTTTTTTCGATTTGTTCAAAAACAATATTCAATTTTGATCATGTCAAACAATACAAATTCAATAAGATTTATCAATTTATATATAGATAATAATAAAAAAAAACAAAATAGTTCATTGTTTTCTTTTTCTTCAATTACTCTTTCTATAATGAAAAAAATAAATAATAATACATACCAAAGACATTTGAAAGAAATATTTTGTATGAAGTATCGTTTATAATGAAATATCAACCAACGTTTACACCAATAGTTTTTGAATTGTGATTCTTTCGGTAGTCAAGGTCTTTATGTGTGAGAATAAATAAGAGACGAGAAGACCCTAAACAAAAGGATCAAATTCGCCTTATGTTCAATTCACTTCGTATAGTAAGTTGACGATCGGACAATAGACATTGAGGGGGAGAAAGAGAGAAAGACAGAGAGAAAGGTATGTTCAATGTTGATAATCGGTTGAACAGGAAGAGGAAAAGTTCACCTCTTTCTCTAACCGCTGTGTCCGAGAAGCGAAATAATCATTCTTCTTTTCCCTATTCATACACATTCGTCTATCGTACATACAACGGTCAACTTATTTTCTTTTATATTTCATTCTAGATGACCGATAGCACGTGATTTGATAATGATGATGTTGATTTCAATCAGACAGTGAAAAATATTCACTCACCTTTTTTTTTTTTTTTTTAACTAAAATTCAAAGCAACAGTATCGAATTATAAGACTGACATAGTCATGTACATTGTAATTATTTCGATAGTATAGGAAAAAACACACCACTCAGTTCACTTAATATTCTTCTGTGAATAACATGCATAAAATTTTTTCGTCGTGTTCTGTCCGAAATGAGAACGAAATAGTAACAGCAGTACAACAATAGAAACAGTAACAAGATGAAAGCGAAAAAAAAAAAAAAAGAAAAAAAGATTTCTTTGTTGCTTGTACACCAATAACAACACATGCTAGATGAAAGAGAAAGTAAGAAACAGGTGCTCTTTTTTTTTTTTTTTTTTGTATTACTTATTTGACAACTGATGGCCATTGAAATTTTGAACAAAGAATTCGGTAATTAGAGACAGTAATCGAAAAAAAAAATGTTTCTTTTCTTTTTTTTTTTTACGTTCTTCGAATAAGTTGGAATTTAATAGACATATGAAAGAACATTGTTTCATATAGAAGTTTTTTTTTTGTTCATTAGTTATAATCGATTAATAGAAAAAAAAAACCGAATAATTATACATCATACATTTTTATAAATTAATGATTGAAGAAAAAATTTATCACGATTTCATTTACCGGATGAATTCAACATTTACTAGGTAAATACATGAGTCTTATTGTAAGCTTAAATGTGATAATAGCAATACTATTGATCAAAACAATATTTTATTGTTTGGACATGTTTGAAAATCAATACGTGATATGATGAAGGAAAAAATAATTTTTGACATTTCAATGAGAAGCAAAAATAATGAAATTATATAAATGTATAGATTTCCTTTTTTTCTTTCTTTCTTTCAATCTATTGAATTAGTTTTGTCGTAATGGACAACTCATTAATTGATCATTAGTTTTAGATTAATCATACGATCGAATTATATCCTATAATCATGATTTATTTATACTTGATTCACTTGAGTTGATCATATGTATCGTATCTGGGAGAATAGAAAGAATGAACTTGTTAATTTTTGTATTGAAAGAATATTGTTTGAAAGAGGATTGAATGATAAATACAATTTAACGGATTAAATATAGAATTCAATAGAAAAATCTCTTGTTTTCATATCATTATTTACAACTAACTATTAGGATTGTTTTTTTTTCTCTCATATAATTTATTTATTCAGATACAGATTTATACAATAAACATTTTCTATTGTAATCGAATATGTTTTATGAATAGTTCAATATTTATGATTATAAGATATTGTTTATTGTACATATTAGTATAACAACATTCTGTGAAGATTGTCAACCACTTATCAATTTTTAATCAATCAAAACTATTATTTTATCACGTATATGCATACAAGACTTTATTGTTTCAAACAACAAGTACAAATATGTATATGTTAGTATCCAAACTGAGATTCCGTTCAATTTTAGATTGAAAGGAAAATTTATGTTAACATTCAAAGTAGTCTATCAAGTAGTTATACATTGTTTTTCATTGAAGGTAGTTCTTGTATATAAAAACTTAATTGCTCAATTGATAATTATATTTATTGAAATGCCATTACTTCTTCTCAGTTCATCAAATACGAATCCGAATGGCATATTGATATACAGATTAATTTAGGTTTTAAGATAAATTTTCTTCTCAATCGGATGTTGGATGTAAGCTCAATTTGGATGCTAACATTTATATAAACATAAGAGTACGGAAATGCAAATAAGTTGCTAAATAGATAATAGAGAGAAGATCACTCTAGAGAATTCAAGCGAGAAAAAAAAACACAAATTTATCTGAACATATTAGAAAGCAGAACACATCTGTATTGACGCTAGACAGCACAATCAATGGCTACACATGGGATACACATACATGATGATGCCACAACAATAATAGAAAGAAAAAGATAATGACATCATCTAAAAATTCTATGATTACTACATCAATTAAATTGTTTGCAATTTCTATTTTAAAAAATAAGTAGACATTTCATAACCTGATCTAAATAATATTTGCAAACTCTTCGTAAATTTCTCATATGTTGTAAAATATCTGTAGACAATATACGTGTCTATTATTATTTGTAAATATTAATGTATAGAAATTTATCTTAATAAAAGATAAGAAATACTTTTGATTGTTATCAAATTAACTGATTGTATGATAAATCCATCTGCGAAAAAAAAAATATGTATGTAAAAATGAATCTAATTTCATATTCTTATAAACTTTAAAAAATGGAGAGTAGTTGTTTGTTTCGGATATTTTTGCAACTGATTAAATGTTCCATAGACTATTGTATCAACTATTATCTATCAATCTAAATCAGATTAATTAATAAACTATGTGTAGCACGTTAAGTTCAAATTATTTATTCTCTTTAAATCTATTATTTATTCAAATTCAATAAAACTATATTGGAAAAAAGTGAATTTATTGTTTTATCAATGATGTGTATCTTCAATACTAATTTTTAATGATGCATATAACGACAAAAGCAGATCATTTTACAAATATCATACACAAAACTATGGAAAGTCATAAAGATGGTAAAAAAAAAATGATATGTACTAGTAAAAAAGAGAATTATCAGTAAAATTAATATCATTTCAATGATTTTACAATTTTTTGTTTTTTGACCTTTAATATCACCTTCATCTTCAGCAAGTAAATGAAAAATTAAATTGAATGATATTGATCAAAAGTGAACGAATAAATGAACATAAAAGCGATATTGTTATAACCCGAAGGTATTCCTATACTAGTCTTTGTAGAGTTCACTATAAAGCCGCCAATAATAATACTTGAAAGTAATAAAAAAAAAGAAATACTATATACTTTGATTGCTTGTTTGTAAAAACAATAATCGGATGACACTATGAAAGACTAACAAAAAGAAAAAAACAAACGGAAGAAGTTTGTACAATTTCCACATCAATATTATTAAATGAATATGAGCTATACAATGAAGATTATATGTATAGAAAGCAATGAGAAATGTTTCGAACCTTAAGGCTACGACAAGAATACTTATAAATCATTGTAGATAAATATCTTGCACATTTTCCAAGTATAATAACGATAACGATAACGACCTTGATTACAACTGAAGTAATATTCCCGTCAGTCGTAAATAATTGAGACTGGTTGTCTCGTGTAATGTATAAATATATGAAATCGGAATAAAAGCGACATATATGTTTAACTGATAATCATTGTTGGTAAGTTTCAAAAAAACGATGATTATCAGTTAAATATATATGTTCGCCATAAGCTAATCATTTATGTACTACCTGTCTTATTGATCTTTCTTCAATGCATTTATTTCTTTTTTTTTTGACTGAAAATTTGAAGCAAATCCTTCTATATGCTTTCTTATCTGAATCGATCAGAAGACAATATCCTTTAGAAGCATTATTTGATTAATTATATACTATGTCAATATAAGTGAGGTTTTTTTTTCTTTCATAACATGAAAAATCTGTGCCAAAAACTAAGATTTGTTATATCATCATGATGGGCAATGGATTTTCGAAAAGTGTAATGATATTTTGATATCGGTGATAATTTACAAATATCTGTGAAACATCAATAAATTTCTAAACTCTATTATTGCATAAACAAAACCGTAGTTACTCGATACATTCTAGAATTCATCATTTTTCTTTCTAAGAAATTAATTAAATTGATTTATGACTTATGATCGATCGATTTTTCAAAGTCATTCTATTTATGTAATTCAAATTTCCATGGTAAAACAAACATGCGTTCTCGGGTGATAGTCAACTACTCAGATTTGTAAAAATTGAACAATTTACCTTGAAAAGATATTACCTTTTTTACCTGTAAAAATCCATTAAAACTGTACATGTATTCGAAACATTAATGACTGCTACTTTGTTAAAACAAAGTTTTTACAGCGTTTCACTATAAAGTTAAAGAATAGCATGTGTCTTCTGTTGAATCATTAAATTACTACTGAAATATTAAGCATGAATCTACCTGAAAAACTTATAAAAATATTTTATACAATACTGTTCAAATTTTTTCATTAGGGTACTATTGACTGCATGATGGATTAATATTTCTTAGTAACCAATAATTTTCTCAAATTTTATTCATAGATGAATCAAACTCTAATATTGGTACTACAATTATTTTAAGCTTTCAGCATGTAAAATAATTATGCGAATATCCTGTAACATATATCTCGTCCGGTGAATCCCACAATGAAGAAACAACATTTTCTCAACTTTGATTTTATCATTGAATAGAATGAAGTCTCTAGTTTATTCTACGTAAAAAAAA